AATGGTATCAGTATTTGTAATAAAAACTATAGATAACCTTTAAAGTTTTTATAATTTACATCCCTTCTAAACGTAAAAGAGAACCTGAAGTGGCAATCAAGTCTAAGAATTTCCACTTCAGACATTGGGTACAAAGAACAGATTCCGTTTCAGACAGCAGGGTCCCAAGCAATCCCCCTCTGCCTAGAAGTAAAGGAGAATGACAGTCTACCTCGCTGTCTTGAATGTTCTCCTCACAGCCGGGCAGGGCCTGACACACAGCTTCCGTACACTGAGGACACAACCAAACCAGGTCTCGGAAAGCTTGCACCACCACTACGACACAGCTCAGGGTACAAGAGCACAGGATTAGAGCCTCCACGCAGAAAGGAATCTTAGGAAAAGTCACATGCTCAGACTAAATTGCTAGTGAATGTCTGTAGAATGGGTGCCGGACGGGTGGTCAATGGTTATCTGAGGAATGTATGACGTGGGCAATACTTTCTTGAATGAATGTTGCTCTCATTAGATCACCATGAGGATAAATGAACTCATATATGTGAAAGCACTCCATACGATGTAAAGCGGTAGGCAGATGTTGGGTAATGTTGTTGAATGATATTCTTGAAGACATTATAAACGGAGCTACCAGGGCTGGGGCTACGGTGAGACAAGCAAGGTGCTGAGGGTGTAAAATTTAAGAGGACATGCAGGGTTAGCACCTGCATGAAACGAAGAGCAATTTTTCTTCATATCTTTGCATTTTAGGCACCTTGCTTACCTCACCCTCGTCCCAGCCACTGGAAGCCACTGTTTACAGTATGCTGCCATAAGCAAAAAGAGGAGTAAAGGTGGGGAAATGACAAGCAAGGTGATCTAGGACCCTTCGTTATCTACAGGACAGCCTGCGGACTGACAGCAACCTGAAGACTCTACCCTATTAGAGCTATAGATCCTGTGTTTCTCTGATGGCAACAGATGACAACACAAAGAGAAGTTCAAACCTCTATGTTATTCAACGACAAATATTTTTTGAGCAACTACTCTAGGCCAGGCAAGGGACAAAATGAAATCCTAGAAAGGCAGCCATTACCTGTGGTAATGTGCTCTTGTCGAAGCCCTAGCAACTCTGTTAGAATCTGCACACACTGATCCGTGTAGGTCCTGGCAATGCCACCTACAGAGGAAGGGAAAGCAGAGAAAAGTGTTAAGTCAGATACTAGCATCTCATTCGAAAATAACTGCCCAGCAGACAAAGACAAAGAAGACCAGAGATATCTTAACAAATCACCCAGTGCTTGATGAAATAAGCATCTCAGTTTGCTCTAAAGGAAATCTCGGTAAAATGGATCCGTTTTCTTTTTTCACAGACCACTAAAAAATCCCAAGTTCAAGGAGGATTGAAAACTTCAAGTAACAACAGTGTGTATGTGGCAGCCAGGTATGAGGCAGCGTTGGCTGCAGTGCACCTGCAGACAGATACTCTTGCTGGGGACACCTGACAGCAGCCTCCACTCTCCTCTTTGTTCTCTCTTCCCTGCCCCCTAAAAATAACCATACTTTATTCTCCATCAGAGGGTTCCTTCTCGTTCTCCACTTGAAGCCCTCTAAAACTTAGCTCCCCAGTTCTTTTCATTTTGTGAATCATTCTAGCCTTTAAATTCCATAGCAATACGAAAAAGTCTATAAGATTTAGGATTTAGTCTGTGTTGTTCTGTACTCAGTACAATACATAGCTCATAGCTCAATAGATGATTGGTGAATTGACAGTGGACCTTGAGTCAGTTAAGCTGGGTTCCAGCCCCAGTTCAGTAACTACATAACATTTTGGCCACTTAATAACCTTTTTGTGACTAAGTTTTTGATCTTTAACATAAGCTAAAAACACTTGTCTACTTTTCCTGACTGCTTCACATAACAGTGGTAAAACGATGAATAGGAAAGCATTGTGGATAGTAGACACCAAAAGGTAACATAAACTTCACACTGTATAGTACGAGTTACTGGAAGATACGACAACATCAGTGTTGACAAAAAAAAAATTCCTCCCCTCTTCCTTTGCACTCAATTCTTTGGTGCCTGACACTTTATCTCTGAAGCTCTCTGTGGTTCAGCTTTCTAGGTGGGTGGTCTAGGTTCTCAAAGGGAAAGCAGCAGCCACCTACCTATGGCAAAGATGGCAGCCTGTGCAAAGTCGCCAGACACATCGGTGCAGTACCCTCGAAGCTCCTCCAGCACCTGCTGCACGTTCTCATCGTTCACCAGCTCACACAGCACCTCCACCTTCTGTAGCTTAATGTAGTGGGGCTCCGAGTAAGAGCAAAAAAACTTTTTGTAGTGGCTGCTAAAGTGACCTGGCAAACTATGCAAGATCTGGCGCACATGGCAAAGGGCAGCAAAACAGAGCTCACGACTCTCTGAAGAACAGGCAGCCAGCAAGGGTCCCTTGACTCGCACGAGCACATCGGTTTGTACATGGGGAAATTTGTTTGCCAAGATCAGAAAGAGTTTCGTGGCTCCCATCACCACACCTGGGCTACTGCTCTTGAGAAAGCTGTCCAACAGGTTGAGAATGTCAAACAGCTCCTCCTCACTGCGGGGTTGGTAGCGCAGCAGGAAGTTCAATACTTCGGCCTGGCCCCATTGATCCAGCTTTGACATTCTATCCAAAAAAAGGAAACAAAAGTGCTATTTTAGCAACAAAATTAGGACCATCTTCACACTACTCTCATGTCACCAGCCATCATCTGTTCATCATAACAAGGGAGACTTCTTGAAAATAGGCTGTGCTATAATCAAATTCGTCTTTTTACATTCTATTTCCAGTTTACACGAAGTAGGCTTTAATTCCAAGACACGTTTAGAAGACAGATGCTTGCTCATCTAAGGCCAAAGACATGCTCACTACACTCCAGATCCAGAGTCTCGACATTTTAAGACAGTACGAATGGCTTGGTCTGGGGGGCATAATGACTGTAGAGGACAGAATCTATCCCCA